TGAAGGGAAAGGTAAGCTCATACACAGTAATCACAGCCTGGGCCACCATGGCCTCCACAACATGGCTTCTAAAGGTACTGGCCACTCACTACACCACCCATTAATCTCCGAGTTTCCCACGTAGAAGTCAGCAAGATAAGATTCTCCCATCTGCCTCTCTGTGCAGCATGGGCTTATATGATATTTGCCAGTTTCACGGGGACTTTGGAGAGGGTTATTTGACAAATGTGTGTCTTTTCTCACCAGCCTGCGAGGTATCAGGGTATGGGAAATGTATTGGTTTTATTGCGGCATCTCCCCTACGCAGACAGTGACTGGCATCTCCTTCACACTCAAAAATATTTCCCAAATAAATAACTGGATGGAGCCAGGCTTTCCGACAACGAGCTACTCAGAAACTACAGGCAAGAAAATATAGATATGGAAGGAGTCATGGGGTTTTATACTTCCTTTTCTGATCCCCTAAGAATAACCAAGAAATGCATGGATGTTGAAAGAGGAAGGATGAGGTGAGAGCCTCTCGTTCTGATAGCTCAATTCCAGGCAGACTAGAAGATTCATTCTCTGATGCCTGGATGAAGGCAATGGGTTTAAGCCAAGAAGATCATTAGCAATTTGCATTTCTGCAAGCCACATCACTCTTGTATCTTGCAGAAACGAGAAACTTGCTTCTAACTGGCAAATTAAATATTGATAATGCAGATAGGCTGTACAACATCTTTCACAAGGCTGGCACCCTGGTTTCCGTGTTTCTAAAACTTCAGACATTTACATTCAACTACCACCAGCTCTGTCATAACTCTTGGCAATCAGTAACATTGTGTAGCTCGTATTTACCTTGAAAGCAATTCATTTTTTAACCTAAAAGGATGCATTTGCCAAGGAAATCTGGCATTGCCACTGCAAATAGAAAACCAGTATCAGTAACTGCAAGTAAAAAAAAAAGAAAGAAAGAAAGAAAGAAAGAAAGAAAGAAAGAAAGAAAGAAAAGCTGAACTATTGAAGTTTAACAATGAATAAAATGTTTCCTATTCAAGCACTTGTTCTAAGCACCTAACACATTCATTGTTTAACCTTTGCACACACACAGCTGTAAAATGTCTCCTTGGGTTCTTACACTTGGTTTTCAGCTGCTGGTGCTCCATCTCAGAGGAGGTGGAACCTTTAATAAATTGAGCCTGGTTCCAGGATGTGTGTTGTGGGAGGCTGGGCTTCAGAGCTATAGGCCAGCCCCCCACTCCCCACCCCTCATCCCCAGCTGGAGAGCTCTATGCTTTCTGATACACTGATAAATTAAATATCAGGTCACAGAGCAAGTTTTGCCACCATGCTTTGCCTGCCACTACAGACTGCATTCCCTGAACCATCAGCCAAAATATATTCTCCCTTAAGTTGCTTTCTGTCAAATAGTCAGTCATATGTAAGTGAAGAGTCACTAATACATATGCACACCTGTGCACACACATGCACAGACATTATTAAATTTGTGCAGTTATTGTCTCCAATAGACCACACAAAGAACTGGAAGTGGAGAAGATTTAAAAACTACACATGATGTCACAAATTCACAAACCTTGCACAGTTTAGACTTACTGCACTGGGCCTAGCTCTAGGCCCCTAATTCTTGACTGCTACATTTTGCAAACAATGCTTTTGAAGTCTGCATAGATGCTCAGGCTGCTGCAGGCTTTAAGCCTGAGGCACACTCCCTCTCCTTATAAAGAAAGCTTAGAAAGTGTTACAGCCTTGTTAAATCTCTTTCAGTTTAAACTATGACTTCCTCATCGACATAAAAAGGATTGAGAGAGAATTGAAAAAGGAATAACTTTTTCTCTAAATGATTCACCCCTTCTGAAATACTTGGTGTTTGGCTTTCTGAAAATTTTATCCCACAGGTGGGCATTCCACAGGCTAAGAAATGCTAGCCTACAAGGTCACTGTGGCACATACTTCCCAGGATCCTTTGCTCAGCTTTCATCTCCATGTTGAGAAGGTAAGCCTTACTGTAATTCCTCAACATAAAGGTAGAGACTATTGGGTTCTTTTATATTATTTGAGAGGATCAGAGTGGAACTGTTCCAGAGGCCAAGAAGGTGACATGTTTATTTAAAAAAAAAAAAAAAAAGTAGGGAGTGGTTTAATTTGCATAATCACTAAAAAGGAAAGAAAATGAGGAAGTGAAGAGAAAAGGAGGTGAGAGAAGAGGATGAAAGAAGAGAAGGAGGAAGAGGGAAAGAGATGTAGGGAGAAGAGGAGAAAGAAAAGAATTAGGGGAAGAGGAGTGGGGATAGAGATGGAAAGAAGAGGAGGAGAAAAGGAGGAAAGAAAGGAAGAGATGGGATACAGCAGATATAGGTTGAATTTTTCCAGCCAGAATAGAGAAAGTTAGAGGGGCAGAGTGCAAATGGACAAGATACAAGAAAATGTCCACACATGACTGAGCTGTCAAAATTTAGATCAGGCTAATGTGACCCATGCCTGTAAGTTCCGGCACCTCGGAGGCAGAGGGAGCTGGATTGCCAAATGTTCACAGTCAGCCTGGGGTGCATAGCGAATTTCGGGGGCCAGCCTGAGCTATATGCTGGGATGCTGACTTAAAACAAATGCAAGGGTTAAGATAATGGTCCAACTCATAAACCTTGCAACCATGAGGACCTGAGTTTGATCCCTAGAATCCAGACTCAAAAGTAGTGCCCTTGTGACAGATTTGTAATCATAGTGCTTGGGAGACAGAAACAAGAACATCCCTGGGAGTTGCTGGCCAGCCAGCCTAGCCTTCTTGCCAAGAATCAAGGCAGATTAAAAAATAAAAAAAAAATACATATATGATCCATGAGGAATGAGAGCCAAGGCTGTTTCTTGGCTGTTGCATGCATGCATACTCACACTGGGACTAGAAGCACTCAAAACAATGAGATGCCTAACCATGTGCTATAACATGGAAGAGGTTCCCTGAGTCAAATGTAAAGAGGAAACATAAACGCATTTCAGAACTGAGCTGTTTAAATGTTCATTTTATCACCTGCAAAGTGGCATTTATTGAACACACATTAGTTAAAAATTTTAAAACTCAAACAATAGCCTTGAATAAAGCAGCCATTTGTGCTGTGGGCTGGGGTGGGGGTGTTCCTGGGGCTCCACATGGATCCCAACTAAATGATCTACCTTTAATTCTTCTAACAAAGGGGTAATAAGAACACCGTTCTTGATTCTAAACTTTACCCTATGGAAAATGTCTCATCAACCTCTCAAGCTATAGATAAGTCCTTTGTCGTCTTTATCCTTAATTTTCAAAGGCAACATGATTTGCAATAGAGAGTTCAGTGCTGGGTGAATTCTGAGGACTGTGTCAAGGCCCTCTGGAGACACAAGCATCCATTGCTCTTTATCTAGAGCTGACCTACTTCTGGCCATCTGACTCAACCAAACAGGAGTGAAAAATCAGAAATTCCAATACATTATTTACTAGGATAAACCAGTCATTCAGGCTGCAGAGAGGAAGCAGTAGGAAAGTTCAGTAAAGCTTAAAGCAAATGCCATTAAAAAGAATTGGAGACAGTGTCTCAGGGGACCCAGAGTAGCCTCAAACTTGCTTGTAGCCCTCTATAGCCAAAGATGACCTTGAATTTCTGGTATTTCCCCCTCTACCTCCTGAGTGCTAGAATCAGCGGTATGTGCTACCACACCTAGTTTATACCATGCAGGGCTTCCTGCATGTCAGGTAAGTGAGCTTCCAGGGAAGCACATCCTCAGCCAACAATTGTCTTGCAAGCTGTCTCATGCAGAAATTGCACTAATGTTAGAAATGTGGACTGAGATGAAATATTAACAAGGCTTGGGCGGGACATTTTACCAAACATATAAGCATAACCAGAAAAGAAAGCTCCGGTCACCATCTCGGTTTCATACAGGTGGATTCATTGTTTGTTTGATATAGGATTTAGCAACCCAGATGACAAAAGCAATTGGAAAATAGAACAAACATTAGGAGTCCTGGCCACCTGGAGATTACAGCTCAGCAAATGTCCTTAGATGTAACTAGCAGTACACAAAGGCTTTAAATTCATTTACTGTATTATCTTTCTCAAACACTTCGAAGCATCATGTTCCCCAGGTCTCTACCTCAAACACTCCTATGCTTCCAAAAGCCACAGATTCCTTTAGCTTTTATAGCACTTTGGAAACACAAAGTTAAGTTACGTGGTCCAGTGAAAATGGCAGAATGATCCATTATAACCGTAAGCTCTGTTCCTACATATAAGCATGCTTCAAAAACAAAGAGCAACATAAAGGTAGGAAATCCAGATATTTCATAAAATTCCACATAATCTCATGCCAATAATGATGTCCAACCAACACATGCTGAGGGGTGAAAGGTGTCACTGAGAAAAAATATTCTCCTTCCCCAAGAAAAACCTTTTTGCATCTAATACACTTGAATCTGGGGACTTGCTTTTAAGTAAGGCGATAACCTATGAAGTTTAACATTCTGGATTAATTGTCCCTGCATACAAATGATACCAACGTTCAAAGTCTATGGATAATTCAAATTCTCCTTAAAAAAAAAATAGAAAAGCCTTGATATAGGTGTTGTTCACCAACCCGTGTCCATTGTCAAAGTGCATTTTAGCCACTCAGCAAACAGCTGGGAACTCACATTAGGAGGACAGCAAGGTGTCCCCCTGACCTTTGTGATTACTTAGACCTTATGTTGTACATCAAAAGAGTCCAGTGATGTCAAACAAATTCCACAAGAGAAGTATTTATCACCAAATCTAAATCAAAAAATCCATATATACTATAATGGCACTTCAGAAGAAGATCTACTGTATTTACCAGCTCAATCAATATGAAATTAGCTGGGATAAATATTGCCAGCTCTACCCGTCTTGAGATGAAGCTTGCTATTTAGACTCCAGGTCTTGATAGAGACAAGGGAAATTCTGCTTATGGCGAAGAAACAGGAAGCAGGAAGCCTGTTACAAACAGGTTACACCTACCCTCAGCTGCTCTCTTTCACAATTCATCTGTTGCCTCAAAACCTGCAGAAGAGAAAAGGGAAAAATGTAAGAAGGTTCTACAGACACAGCAGCACAGAAGCCCTGGGGATCAGGGAGTGGCTCACAGGCTCCCTGGAACTCACACAAACGCTGGTGGACATGTTGAGGTGAGATGGCTCATGGATAAAGGCACTTGCCTTCAGGCCTCGGAACCTGAACTCAGTACCCGGAACCCACATGGTGAGCACAGAAAGACTAACTCTGACAAATGATGTACAGATGTGTCATGGCAAGCCCACATAGTGGGTATGTGCAGACACAATAGATTATAAAATATTTAAAAAATTAAAAACAAACAAGGTAGAGGATTGAGGAAGAATTCTGACATCAACATCAGGCCTCCACAGACATACACACATACATCTCCACACACAGGGATGCCCACACATATGCTATCATATAAGCACATGTGTATATCCATACACAGGGATGCTCAGACCTGTGTGATCACATGTACACACACATGCATTGACACACACAGGTTGCTCACACAAGCACATAAAAACTTTGCATATACACAGATGGAAGAAAAGAAGAGGGGAAAAACAAAAAAAATAAATAGTTACTTTTGATGGCTGGACTCAAAGAAGCCCAGAATTAATCGTAACGAATACTTTTTCTCTAGGTTCAGACACTGGACTCTTCACTATTATTCTGCAGTGTGCAATGCAGAAATATCCAGCAAGGGGAGCAGTATCCTTAAGGGAACAGTACAGGGGTTCAGGAGAGGGTGGAGTCAGCCTAAAAAGCATGAGGGTTTTCTTCTTGGTGCACAGACCCCTCCAGTCCTGTTTAACCGGAGGGCACACTCTCCCTTAAGACTGTCTTAGTTTGGACGTGACAAGACAATAACCAATGCAGTGTCTTTCCCAGTGACAGGTGCTGAACATCTTACCTGCATGCCCTGGATAACAGGCTTCATTTAGTTTATTCTCTGTTATTTTTGTTTGGGTGTGGTACTTAAGTCCAAACTCAGTGTTTCACATATGCCAAGCAAGTGCTTCCCTCTAAAGTATCCCTTCTCTTGTTATTTTGAGACTGATCTCACTGAGTTGGCCAGCCTTGAACACATTATGCCACCCAAGCAGACCTTGAGTTTGTGATCCTTCTGCGTCAGCCTCCTGACATACTGAGATAACAGAAGGGGTTTGCTGGTCTAGCCTCAGCAGATGAACAGACTGTTTGGGGATGGTAGTTAGATGGGCTGCATGGGGCAAGATTCTGAGACCAGGGCTTAGAGCAGAGGAAGAAAGCCTGTTCAAAATTTGATATCTGTTACCACTCCAACAATGAAGTATCGGTAGTTCCCTTGCCAAACATTGGAGGGCGATTTGTGCCTGACCAATGTGCTTTTCTTACCATCCAAGGAGGCTTTATAAGGCTGATCACATGATTTGTTATACAAGCAGGCAAAACAGAGTTCATCAGTAGGGAATGGCCAGCAAAGCCTTTGGATTTACCTGATTACCAGAGGCCAAAGATAAAAAGGGATGCATCTTGGGAAAACTGGTTTGTATGGTCCTTTAACATAGTTGAGGATTGATGGATGAGTCTTCAATGAAAATGGCCAAAATAAAACTAATTCTGCATCACTGACAAGTTACATTGTCTTTTTCTATTTTTTAAAAACCATTGTAAAGTCTCTTAACTCCTAGCCCTTGACAGGGTATCAGGAGCTCCTTGAAGCTTTACTGAAGGATGAGAAGCTTTAGCAACCAACTCTTGATGTATATTTTATGTGTTTTGTAGTGAAAGTTTCTTTTTACTTTTTCTAAAATAAAAACAAAAATAAGGATGTTTGCTTTGGATAGACCCCAGCCTGAAGTCTATAGATAGAGAGCTATTGTAGGTCCTTTCACCTAGAAAATTACCCATAAGAAGATCTCTTTTGATTGTGTTTGCTCTTTTATTGTTGTTGTTGTTATTTTGAGAGAATGTCTCATATATCCCAGAATACCCTTGAACTAGCTATGTAGCCAAGGGTGGTTCTGAACTCTTGACCTTCCTTCATCCACCTCCTGAGGGCTGGGAACACAGCTGTGTACCAGCATGCTTGGTTTCTGTGGTGTTGGGGACCACCCCTAGGCTTTGTACATTAGTATTAGGTGGGCATTCCACAAACTGATGTCACTTGCCTCTCATGCTCAGTCTCTGGGTTCAACTCTTGGGACCATAAGAAAGAAAAACAGAGAAACAGAAAGAAAGGAGGAAGACTGACTTATATGTAGGTCTCAATTAACCATAACGTTATTTATAAAAGATAAATATATAAAAACTATAAAGTGTGACAATGGGAAAATCACAATTCTGAAAACAATAGATATGGGAAATGTACCAAAAACCCACTTCACTTTATGAGAAACAAAAAGCTACAAAAAAGCGTACAAATGTCATGGTTCCTATTTTCTGTCAAAATACAGTTCAATTAGTCTTTAAAGAGTAAAAATATAAAGAAGAAAGGATTGAGAAGAAATTTTCCAAATTATTAAAAAGTAAAGGATCATAGCCAGAAAAATAGATTTTAAAAAATCTCAAATTAAATTATACTTAAAATAGGCACTTTAGATTATATCTCTATAAACCTTTAAGAAAAAGAAGCCGAGAAAAATCCTCAGGCAGAGAAGATACACAGTGTAGGAGGGCAGGGGTTGGTGGTGACTGCTCTGAGGGTGCAGGTTCCCACTGAGCAGGCCGAGAACAGGAGAGGGCACACTGAGGAAGCAGCACCTGAGGGTTCTGGGAAGACAAGTACAATGGGCACCAAGGCCTGAATCTGAAATACTCTCCGCCCTCACACTGTCTCTTGGCAGCTGATCCCAGGGCTCAGTAGTGAATGATCGTGAACAGACAAGCCCCAGGAGAAGGTTGCTAGGTTTATGTTGAGGAATCTTAATCGCAGAAAGTGGAGGGTCCCCCATTTCTGTACCCTTCCCTCCCCACCATCCTCTCACACTACTGCTTCCTTCTGAGCAATCCCAGGCTGTGTTGGGCATGAGCCTTGGGAAGACAAAAGGAGCCCAACTTCATGCCATGAAGAGCTGTGCTCCTAAGAGGTAGCACGCGCCCCTCCCCCTCTGCTTTTCCCATTCTTACATTGTAGTTTGAGTATGAAATGTCCTTAGCAGGTTCATGTGTTAGAACCTTTGGTCCCCAGATTGTCGTGGTGTTTGGGAGGCCATGAGGTCTTTGAGAGTAGGGAGTTGCTGGAAGAACACACGGGAGAGGGCATTGAGGTTTGGCAGCATGGCCCTCATTTCCTGTTCTTTGTCTCTGTTTCTGGAGTGTGAATGAAATGGATTGGTTGGATTATGCTATTGCTGCCATGTCTTCCCTGCCTTGAGGGACTCTGTTCCTTCAGGAACTGTAAGCCAAAATAAGTCCTTTCTCCTTTAACTTGCTTCTGTCCCAGTATTTTATTACCGTAACAGAAATGAACACACTGTGTCCACTTAGAGTAGAAAAAAAAATGAAAGGTGCAACAGCTGAATGTCCACACAAGTGAAGAAAGTTATAAGGCCTCAAGTTCAAGACAACTGTTATTTTCCAAAGAGTCAAACTCGAATAAATCCACACCAAAAAAAAAAAAAAAAGTGAGGACAAAATTGCTTGAAGCTGACAGGGGAAAGGGTTCAGCAGGTAAGCATCCACGTACTATCTTGCAAAGACTGTGTCAGCATGCTCGGCGCCTGCACAGGCCTAAGCCAGAAGTGGTCTCAGAGCTGAGGGAGAAAGTAGATGTGCCCCCCCTCCCTAACCCAGAACCCATCTCCTTTGAGGACCACTAGCAAAGAAAACTTAAGTTTTCTCTATGGAGTCTTACTGGGTATATGAGCATCACTTAAGAACAGGTCTCATGTCAGGCAGTCAATGGCCAACATAAAATGTAGTCAGTGATATTTCTAGAGGTTTTTGTCTGGGCTTTCTGTGTTTGTTTGTTTGTTCTCCCTTACAGATCTTTTCTTACATGTTACAGTTTCTAATTGTGTTTAAATGAGTTTTCTGTGTGTCTCAGGATCTGCGTGTGTGTTTTTTTTTTTTGCTCCCCCTCTCCACCACTGTTTGTTTATTTTGCCCTATTCAGGTTTGCTGGTTTTTATTTTAACTTGTTTTATTTTACTATTTTCTTTAGATGCCTGCTGTATGCTGATGTGAAAGAAGTATTTGTAGATTTGGGGGGATGGATGAGGAAGTGCAGAGGATGAGGGAGGAGTTGAGGGGAAACCATAAACACAATACATTGTATATAAAAACCTCTATTTTAAATTAGAGTTAAAAAATAAGTTTTTGCTCCTCACTCACAAATAAACACTTAAGCTCAGATCTCCAGCACCCACCCAACCTAACCTTTGTGTGGCTGTGTGCATGTAACTCTAGCACTGTCAATGAGGGAGGCAGCAGGCTGGCTGGGACTTGATGGGTACAAGTCTAGCATCAGATTCAGGGAGAGAACTTGCATCAGAAGAATAAGGTCAAGAGTGATAGTCAAAGACGATGAACAGCTTCCTCTGGCCTCTGCACACACAAGCATATACACACACATACACATATACACACATTACACACATATACACTCATATATAACACACCTATTCCCTTCCTCCCGCTCTTCCCCTGTCTTTCTCCCTCCTTCTCTTACACACTCACACACATCTCTCTCTGTGTCTCTGTGTCTCTTTGTCTCTGTTTCTGTCTTCTCTCTGTGTATGTCTTTTGTGTGTGTCCCCATGTCTGTTTCTCTCTCAATACACACACACACACACACACACACACACACACACACTCACATAAAGGAATTAATTGCTGGGAGCTTATAAAAAACATGTGAGAAAAAAACATAGGCATATGATTTAAATGTACAATGCAGTGACGGAACAAATAAATATAGACTTCTTGTTTAAACAAATGATACAAATAAAAACAAGGGATTAGAATGGCTAATAGAGCTTGCTGTTCCACTGGAGGAGAGTTTCCAGGGCCTACTC